ATATAATATATATATATATATATAATATTAATAGGATTGAAATCCGGCAAATTAGTACTTAAAAGAAAAGGAACCATGGTCGAAAGTGTAGATATGTGTTATACACCAGTAAACTTATTGATGATATTGTACATATTATTCCCTGTGTATGTACTGTTACATAGCTTATGTAACCGTTATATACTTATTCTTTTTACCACGTATCCCTGTGCTCCCTTGGCGACGACAGTGACGTCACGCCATTTCATGTTTACCCTCTCGCCTGTTCCTTCGAGCCGTGCGGACGATCTCCGCACGCCTCTTCCTTCTATCCATTTAATATAGCCTCTAAAGTGAAGACAGCCTTTCAATAGAACCTAGAACTATCATTCAGACATAACCATACATGGCGCAGCGAGTATTTTCGTAAAGGTGAACGAGAAAGGCTAAATAATGAAGAAAAAGACTGGCAACCAGTTCCCTGCTTCCTCAACCGACGCCATCCCCGGCGATTTCAACCCAGTGACAGTGCTCAGTGACAGTGTTGTGCAGTGTAACACTCATTTACGAGTGTTTAGTGCAGTGACAGTGTGTGTGCAGTGTTTTCGGTGCATTTATTCATGTATTGGGTCCAAAGTGCGCTTTCTAGCGACCGCCCACAGACTGCACCTTGCTACAGGCTCCTCATTTGGCGACGTCTCGAGAGACACTGCCGTTCTCGGTGCTCGGAAGCCATTAAAACCCGCCCTCACCCGAGTAACAGACACACGCACTAACACGCTCGTGCGTTCCCTCCACACATTGACGCACTGTGAAACTCTACAAATTGTATGAAACTGAGCCGTGCTTTTTTTATCAGTTTGCATACAGCTTCGTGAAGAATAATGTCTTCTCCAAGACGATATCTTGAGCGCGCAGACACCCCACATGGTGACCAAGAAACGGACGGAGCAGTTGGGCCACTCCCGGGCCACCCAGACGGCCACGATGGACCGTCCTCCCGAACCGCAACTCCGCCACAACAAGCTCTCGATATCCCCTCAGTTCAGACGCCTCACCTCATACCCTCAGATTTTCTTCACCTCATAAAGTACCTCGAGGAGTCACGAATCTTTTCTGAGAACCGCAGATGGGTAGAAGAGGAAGAAAGGCGATCCCGTGAGGAAGAAAGAAGACTATTGAAGAAAGAAGACGCCAGGAGCGACTTCAAGAACAGGAGCAGAGACGACAAGAGGAAGAGAGAAGACGTCAGGAGAGGCAACAAGAAGAAGAACAAAGACGTCAGGAGAGGCAACAAGAAGAACAAAGAAGACAGGAGGAGAAAGAAGAAGACAGGAGGAAGAAAACACGACGAAAGGAAGATGCTGAATGCTTTGCAGCCCTAATGAAGTTGTTAGCACCACAACAACCCACACCTCAGCACAACCCTGCTGCACCCGACTTCACTCCTGCCATACCCACCTCCGAGGCCTCACCTGCCATTACTTCCACTGCTGCCTCATCAGTCATTACTTCCCCTGCCGTCACGGATATATCAAGTGCCTCACCAGTGATGCATCCTGCCAGCAAGACCGTCGCCCACAGACCGCCCACTTTACGCGCTGATGATACATTCCAGACGTTTCGCCAGTGGCGCCGTAGCTGGGACGACTACGCCACCATGGTTGATCTGCAGAAACTGGCCAGAGAAAAACAGCTAATCCAGCTGAGGATGTCTGTGTCCCTCGACGTGCAACGGACCCTTGAACATACCCTGGGGATTGCACACGACACATCACTGACAGTTGACCAGGTACTCAACGAACTCCAGAAGCACTTTAAGAACCAGCGCAACGAAGCTCTACGCCGACGAGAACTTCTATGCTGCAAGCAGAAGGAAGGAGAAACATTTTCTGACTTCTATGTTAGACTGAAGGACTTACCCGAGGAAGTGGACTTGTGCTCAGGCGATCCAGTTACTTGTGCAGAGGCACAGCTCAAGATGATCCTGTTGATGGGAGTCAAGGATGAAGAGCTCGTGCAACACCTCATCTCCACGCACGCAGATGCATCACTACAAGAGATGGTTACCTGCTGCCGATCGTTCGAGGCCACCAAGGATGCTGCATCAGCCATCCACTCATCCCCAAGTCAACTGTGTGCTGTTTCAAGCTACAAGAAGAAACAGCGAGACAAGACGACCCGCTCCTCACCTCCACGAAGTCAGAACAAGCCTTCATCGCCCAACTCTGATTCCTGCCGTTCATGTAACCGACGCCTCGACACCGGAAAATGCCCCGCCAAAGAAGCCATCTGCATGAATTGCGGATGCAGAGGACACTGGCCTCGGACTGCTAGGTGTCCTGCCAAGCATGTCACGTGCAACTCATGTCACAAGATGGGACACTTCGCCAAGGTGTGCCGAACTGGAAAGTCGGATTACAGTAAAGGACCAGCGTCACGTCCAAAGTATAAGAACTGTCGACGTGTATCAGCAGACAGCAAGACCCCACAGCCCGTATGCATTCTTCTCACCTATGGCCAGACATCATCAAGATTGCAGATGCTCCCAGACACAGGCGCTGATGTCACAATCATAGGCAAGAAGCATCTCGAACAGCTTAAAATTCCATGCAGCGACCTACAGCCCCTTGAGTCCACCACTACTTTCACAGCTGATGGCTCAGAAATGGCTCCTGCCTTGGGATTTTTCCAAGCAAAACCTCAACTGGGAAAGAAGACTTGTAAAGGGAAGATACAAGTCCATGATGGTGTCACGACTCCCCTCCTCTCTTACAGGCACTGCCAGGAGTTAGCCATCATTTCTCCCCAGTTTCCGAAGCCGATATTGGAGGTCAAACACGCTAACTGGTGTGCCGAGTCACACCTACCTGACCTGCCAACGCCGTCTGCTGCAAGAAAGTATTTCCTTCAGGAATACAATGACGTGCTGCTCACCAAGCAGGATCTCAAAGAGGCCCTGCTACAACCGATGACAGGTGGGCCCATGCAGATCCACTTAAAAGAAGGAGCAGTCCCATTAGCCATTCACACCCCAAGACCAATCCCCTTCACGATTCAGCAAAAAGTGAAGGAGGAACTCGAATCGATGGAATGCCAAGGCATCATCGCACCTGTTGGTGATGACCCCTCAGATTGGTGCCACTAGTCACCGTAGCGAAGGACGAAGGAGTGAGGATCACGGTCGACTTATCCCATCTTAATAGTCAGGTATCCAGACCAACGCACCCTTCACCAACACCCTTCGATGCAGTCCGCCGAGTTACCCCATCATCACGCTACTTCACGAAAGTGGACGACCTGTGCGGATATTGGCAACTTGAACTTGCCGAGGAGGACCAACACCTGACAACCTTTATCACGCCGTACGGAAGATATAAGCACCGTCGGGGTCCCATGGGCTTCTCAGCTACTGGAGACACTTACTGCAGTCGAGGAGACATAGCTCTCCAGGGGATGCAAAGGTGCGTCAAGGTGGTGGACGACATTCTCCTCTATGACGACGACTTCAAGACCCACATCCAGCAAGTTGACCAGATGCTTCGTAGGTGTCGCAAGAATGGGATCACTCTCAACCGAGACAAATTCGTGATTGCCGCCCCTAGTGTAAGCTTCTGTGGTTACACCATTTCAAACAAGGGCATAGAAGCGGACCAGGACAGAGTCAGTGCCATCCGTGATTTTCCCACACCTGCAAACGTGACCGACCTGCGTTCCTTCATCAGCCTGGTGAACCAGCTGTCAGAATTCACCCCAAGCATTGCGGCTACAGCCCAAACACTCCGCCCCTTGCTGAGCCCAAAACGCACATTCATATGGACAGCCGACCACGACGAGGCCTTCCGACGTGTCAAAGAGGCACTGTCGCAACCACCCGTGTTAGCACACTTCAACCTATCACTCCCAATTGTGCTACAAACAGACGCCTCTCGACTCTACGGTATCGGCTACGCCCTACTACAAGATCATGGCCAGGGACGGTTACGCCTCGTTCAGTGTGGCTCTCGCTTCTTAACCGACGCCGAGACAAGATACGCCACCATTGAATTGGAGATGCTCGCCGCTGTCTGGGCCACTGCCAAATGCAAACCATACCTGATTGGAGTCCCGAACTTCACCTTGATGACCGACCACAGGCCACTGATACCGATTCTCAACAAGTACACATTAGACACAGTAGAGAATCATTGCCTTCAACGCTTAAAGGGCCATATCTCACCCTACCAGTTTACAACTGTATGGCGAGCTGGAAAACAGCTCTGCATTCCGGATGCCCTGTCATGAGCCCCAGTAAGCCACCCCACATCAGAGGACGAGAATCTCTGCAATGACGCAGCAACCCACCTGAGGAGTATAGTAACCTGCAACACCATCGGCACTGTAACTGACCCCAAGAATGAAGACGCCGACAGAACCCTGCAAGAGCTACACGAAGCAGCAAGTGTCGACCCTGAGTATGCCCGCCTCAAGGATTGTGTGTCTACTGGGTTCCCTTCCAACCGATACGACCTGCACAAGTCGCTGCTCCCCTACTGGAAAATCCGAGACAGCCTCTCTGCCGACGGGGAGTTGGTTCTGTATGGCTAACGAATCATCATACCTACTGCTTATCGCCGATGCACACTCACCCAACTCGCCAGCCATCGCGGCGTAGAGGCGACGAAACGTCGGGCACGGCAGACCGTATTTTGGCCTGGAATAGATGCTGACATCAAGAGCACAGTAGAAGCCTGCCAGCCGTGTCAGGTCATGCAACCCAGCCAACAACAGGAACCCATGCAGAACGACGACCATCCTATGAGACCTTTCGAGTCGGTATCAGCCGATTTCTTCACAGTCGCAGGGAAACCCTTCCTTGTGATTGCAGTCTCTCTGGCTGGCCTGTCGTCGTCCCCTGTGGGGCCTCGTCTACATCACGCACCACACGCATGTTCTGACACTATTTTCGCGATGTTGGTGTTCCACTCCGCCTGAGGACAGACGGCGGACCCCAATTCACCAGCTCCGAGTTCAAGGACTTCATGAAACGATGGGGAGTTCACCATGTGATATCATCGCCCCATTACCCTCAGTCGAATGGCCATGCCGAGGCAGCTGTTAAGTCAACCAAGTACCTCATCATGAAAACGGCGCCATCCGGCAACATCGACAATGAAGACTTCGACAGAGGCCTCCTTGAACTGCGCAACATCCCTAACGCCACAGGAAGATCGCCAGCACAGATTTTCTACGGACGCCCGCTTCGCTCCTGCGTTCCGGCCCACCCGGAATCCTTCTTAGAGGAATGGCAGGAGAAATCTGAAGACTGTGACCGCCGAGCAGCCGCCCAAGCCGAACAAGTCAGACAGCGGTACGATCAGCATGCCCGTAGTCTGCCGCAGTTGCATGTGGGACAAACAGTACGTATCCAGGACCCGACTTCGCTACGCTGGGACAAGATCGGAACCGTTATGGGCTGCTGAAGAACCAGGGACTACGAGATCAGACTACCGAGTGGACGAGTCTGGTGGCGAAACCAACATTTCCTGCGACCAGTGCCTACCCCTAGTGCTGATCCCATCCCCCACATCCCTGTGACACCTTGCTCGGACATGAAAATGAAGTCCTCTATCAGTAAACCCCCAGTGTTCCCACATCGTTCAAAGCGACTGATGAAAAAACAGTCCGCTCGAGACTGAGCTACGAGCATGAAGGGGGAGGAAGGTGTAGATACGTGTTATACACCAGTAAACTTATTGATGATACTGTACATATTATTCCCTGTGTATGTACTATTACATAGCTTATGTAACCGTTATATATTTATTTTTTATACCACATATCCCTGTGTTCCCTTGGCGACGACAGTGACGTCATGCCATTTCATGTTTACCCTCTCGCCTGTTCCTTCGAGCCGTGCGGACGATCTGCGCACGCCTCTTCCTTCAATCCATTTAATATAGCCTCTAAAGTGAAGATAGCCTTTCAATAGAACCTAGAACTATCATTCGGACATGACCATACAGAAAGTTCAAGCATTCTATTTGTGAATCTAGAGAACAAATCAATACCCTAGCACCTATAAGATAAGTGAAATAAAGACCTATAAAATATAATAGGAAATGAGAGAGAGGTACAAAATTACAACGACAGTGAAGAATCAAAACAGCGACTCCTGTCTAAGGCAACAAAGCTGACGACTCACGACTAAAAATAAAGTAATGTGAGATGGATTATGCGAAGAGAACAAAAATGGTGTTTACCGCTAAATGAGAGTACAAAGAGGACTAAAGTATGATCTTTTGAAGTGCAATTTGTGGTAAAAAAAATGAAACACGCGGAATGGTTGGAAGATATTTCCAATATGGTCAAAGATCGGTTTAAGGTGATACATGGAAATCGCCGAGAAGAAAATGGTGCGCTTTCGTTATGGGATTTACATGAAAGGGCAGCGGGATGAATTATACAAACAACAATCGGGTAATGTTCCCAAAATGGATGTCTTTAAGCCGATAATCACCGACCGATTTCGTGTTCACCTCTTACACTAACCTTGGAATGAATAACGAATTGCCACTTGAAAAAAGGATGCAGAGGGAAGAGATATAAGATTAGCTGTTCGTGGATTTTTTCAGTAATGTAATAACATACCAATTTGGATAGTTTCAATGGATTATATAAAAGCATATTGCGTGGCCCCTTATTCTTGGATTTAGAATATGTACAGCTTAAAGTTTTGGATAACATCTGAGGATTTATAAAGTCATTGAAGTATTGGTAAAAGGAATTGACATCTCATGGGAAAACACAGGTTAAGCTCAACATCAACAAAGAAACTTTCCAATGTGTTGTTTTTAGCTATCTGTATGATACCGCTGACTCAAGTAGGAAGATGAATATCTTTTGGTATCCTCAAGAGATGACCAACCGCCTTTCGTCCATTGACGATCTAAGGTTACAAATGAAAGAGATACAAGGGTCAATAATGATTTTGTTAAAACTATACATATGGAACATGAAATGTGGAATGATCACGATGAATAGAAATAACTCAGTGTGGAAATAACTCAGGAAGAAATGTCGAAACAAATGAATCAAAGGTCTTGTGAGATTTCAATGTGCAGCGTGATTAGCGAGATTCCGATAGTGACTGGGGTGTAATGGACGTGGACAAGTCCAGATTAGGGAGTCCGCCCTGTTAACAGCGCAGTACCTCCAGTTCAGCACCATCTGTGGACGTTTTTGGGAGCCACCTGGAGCCTTTTTGTTTTGTTTATTTACATCTTTTAGCTTTTCTTTTAACGGCCTCGGTTTTATTGCATCTTTTCATGGTTAAATAAGCTTTACTTTCATTTTAATCCACCTTATTTTAATTTGTATTATTTAAAACTATTTTGCAACAATCACACGAACACATAAAAGCTAGAGTCTTGTCGCCCACTACTATCTTGGGTTTTTTGCTTATCCGATCTGCAGGGTGTGAGTCGCTGGGCGCCCGGCCTCACCGGACGCCTCCTTCGTGTTTCTTTCGTACTGCAAAAGAGAGAGATAAGTATATTTTCATTCCTTGCAAGAGGCCAGATAGAATGTGATATATGAATTATACATTTGAGAATATACAGACTAAGGAGATCTCAGGTCTTCCTTCTTACTCTTTGGTTTCGTTTTATCCTTGGTTCGTTTAGTTCTTTTACCTTTTGTTGTCTTTTCTTTTATTTGGTTTTATTTACTTTATTTTATTTTATAAGAAGAATGGACTTATTTTTTAAAAGTAATAAGAGTGAAAGAATGAAAAAAATGGTAACAGAAAAGAATGGCAAAAGTTTATTATAAAAATGATTATGACGATCTAAAGATAACCTTCAACTTTAAAGTAATTTCAGTCTTGTTCAAACTTACTGGTAAAAAGGGCTTCAGAGTCGTGATGGGTCATACTGTAATATGCGCCTGCTGCCACTTTCAATAAAACAGATCCCCTGTCGGAAAATTGCAGTAGGTACAGGGGCTTTAATGGCGATCTCCGCGGGATATGAAATGGGCGCAGATGATCTTAACGCAGAGGTTAGGATGCAGAAGAATGATTACTTGTTTGGCATTAGATAACTGGTTGTTGTAATAATCATGATAATGATAATAAGAACAGCAACAAAAAATAACAATGATTACAACGATGTTACTGATAATAATAACGATAGTAATCTTAAAGACAATCTAATTAATAATGAAAAATAAAGATAACGATAATGGCAATCAAAATATAAGAAGAATACTAATGATAATAAGAATAATGATAATGGCAATGATAACGATAAAAGTAAATGTAATAGTAAAGATCATAGTGAGGATAATAAGGATAATGGCTATGGCGATAATGACAGTAATAAGGATAAGGATAATGATAACATTGGCTAGAATCTAATGATGATGATGAAGATTATAATGATAATGATGATGTTAATGGTAATAATAATTAATAATGATAACAATAGTTTTATTATTAGTAATACAAATAATTATTATTATAATAATGATAACGATAACAATAATGATAGTTGTGATAACAATAATGACAATAATACTAATGGTAATGATAATAATAATAGAAATGATAATAAAAACGATGATGATGATAATAACAATAATAAAATTGATGATAATATTCAAATTCAAACGCTTTATTCCATTAATTATAATGGTAATTCTATTTACATATATGATGTTTACACTATGTAATAAGATGCTATGAACATAAATATTATAAAATGCTTGTGAAAGAAGAAGAAGAAGAAAAAAAAAAAAAAAAAACGGATAACTAATATCATAAGTAATTGAAATATCGTGCTCGGCTTGATGTTTAAGCGCCTGATGTCATTGATATTTCAAATGTTCTTTCATTTTTGTATTAAATGTCTTTTTGTTGGAAATATTTCTAATATTTACCGGTAATTGGTTCCAAATCACCAGTCCTTGTTTTTGTTGCTATATTCGATCTTTTGGTATATAAGCAGTTGTTTTACCTTGTATCGACACTTGTTGTGTTACCTATTGTCTGTATAGGTAAAAGCCAATTTGGGTAATTTCCTTGTATGATTTTATTAATGAGAATGCACGCGTCATGGTTGTATTTCTGTTGTACTTTTAGCCTTTTAGTGTGTTGATAAGTGGTTAGATGTGATCATATTTACTTATATTTCCTAGTGCTACTCTCGATACAAAGTTCTGTAGTTTCTGTCCTTTGTATTTGTATTTGTTTGTGGAACCCCAGATATTTAGGCAGTAAATAATCATACTAAGTGTTAGTGTTTGTATAACAACAATTCTTGTTTCTGTGGAAATTTTATTTTTAATGTGATTTAAGTATATCAGAAGCCCATTACTTCTCTGTAGATGTGGTCAATGTGTCTCAAATATCAGGTATCTGTCTATGTATACTCCTAGATTGTTTACTGTTGGGTTGGGTTTGATGTGGCAACCTTGGAATTCTATTACTGCAACTGTGTGTATTATTGCAATGTTATGACGACTGCCTATGAAAACACATTTTGTTTCCTGCAAATTTAGCTTCAGGCGTTCATTTCAAATTGTTTTGCGTCCGTTAGGGTTTGTTCAGCTTTTCCTATCAACTCATTTAAATTGTTAACAGAGACAGAGTGAAGAAATTGAGAGTCATCAGCGTACTGAATAAGAAGACCGATTTTCACGATTGATGACAGATAATGCATATGATTGGGCCTAGGATGGAGCCTTGTGGAACACCAAACGAAGCATGTGTCTTTGATGATACTTTTTCATGGGTTTCGGCTGATGAGTTCTCGCAGATAAGTAATTTTGGAACCAAAAGTTATCGATTCCGTAATATGATTTTATGGCTAATGCTATCAAAGGCCTTCGATAAGTCACATAGAGCGAACAAATTTATCTGACTGTTGTCTATGTTGCTATAAATTTCATTTGTGACTTTTAGTAACGCTGTTTCAGTTGACGGTTTACTTCAAAAGAGTGATGCGTGTTAGATAAAAGTTTATTTTCTTCCAGAAATGCTGTTAATTGGTTTGTAACTATTTTCTCGGAAACTTTATTTATAACTGACAGTATAGTGATGGGTCGATAATTATTCATTTCATCTGTATAACCTAATTTGAAAACAGGTGTTATGATACCATGTTTCCAAAGTGATGGATAAACACAGGTGACTATATATGTACTAATGAGGACTGTTAGGTAGTATGCAATGGCTGGTAGACTATCTTTTATGAAATGATGTGCAGTGCCATCAGCTCCTACGGAATTTGTTTTTCTGATTCTTTTATTGTTGACATAATTTGGTTCTTCTCCTGGTTGCGGTCTTAAAATGTTTGTTATAGATAGGCCTTGTTTTATTTATGTTGTGTTGATGTGTGGAAGCGGTTGTCCGTAAGTGGGTCTACCGAATTCTACAAATAAGTTATTGAAGTGTTCTATATTTTTTGGAATTTAGGGAAATGTCTGTTTTTTGTTTCTTATTTGGCAGTAGTGTCTGAATCCGATTCCATGTTTCGGCAGAATCGTTTCTGCATTCATTGAACTTACTTTTAAAACTTTCTTTTTCGCATAATGGAGGAGTGTTTTCATTTCCCTCTTCTTTTGTTTATATTCAGCCTGTAAGGTGGTGTTAGATTTGTTTATATTGAAAGGTTTGTAAGTATTATTTCTATTATTT